GCGAGCGTCCTTGTAAATAAATCTGTATGCGGGACTGACCAACCAAGCGAGCGAATTGTCTTGTTAAATGGAGAGAGATTTAGCGAATTTGGTGTTAGCTTCCCAGGAGGAAAGCACAGATAGCGTGGCCGAATGTAACAATGTGTGTGTTCGCGCGTTATGAATCGAGTGAGAGTAGGGTCATCTCTTGAGTGTAGAGGGCGCTTAGGTAGCAGACGACGGAGAATAGAAACAGAGAGGGATCATTCAGAGTCTGATGGCGGTAGATGACAGATCATCTCCGTGAGTCAGCTGAATAAAGAGCCGTGGTTGAAGTCACAGAACCCTCCGACTACTCTGTGTTCAGTAGCCTAGAGAGAGAGCAGGAGAGCTTCTCACAGAAGTGTGTATCCAGATGACTCGGCGCTGAGCTTCGCTCCCGAATCAGCAGACACGGAAGATGCACTGGACTATTGCAGTCGTATGAGATGTAGCTAAGGCGATAGGACCTTCGGAGCTCCATGAGAGCGAGAAGTGGTTATATGCGTGAAGATTCGCGATCTTACTTCTTGGCAGTCACCAAGGGACAAAGTCCGTCTCCTTCAGTGGAACGGTCTATTCTGATCGCGAAGCGCGGGACATCATTCCAATCCGGGCTCCTGGGATTCTCTGGGCTCCGCTGGATGTAGTGGCGGACAGTTCTCGGAGACTTTCAGCATTTTGTTCCGCGTCGTATCGGTCTGGAATCCGCGGTGTCCGGAGAGAATTTGCGCAGCGGTCGCCGACGAAAGCGCGGCGTCGTAACTGAGTAAGCCCCTGTCGCTCTCTCCGCCCCGCAATCGTTTTTCGTTTACTTGAGAGGAAACGATGCCTAATTGGCGCATTGTAAACTTTCGCCGAGGACGTGTACCCGTGACCGCCCGCCGGGCATAAACAGTCGCGGAAGTAACGAGCATGTAACAAGCTCAACATGGGATCAGTCTCTAGATTGTTTCTTTTCTCTAGGACTTGTCTCGGTCGACCATGCTCAAGGGGGTGGCGCTGGATCTGACTGCCGTAGCTGATAGCTGCCGCGCCGTGCAGTCCATTATACGATAGAACGTCCTGAGTCGGTGGCGACAGGAGGTTTTCCTGTACATGGACGAGACAATTTATTATTTCCGTCCACCTCACGTCAGATTAATTTATGGTCACGGCACTCGCGCGGAAGATCTCCTCACACGCTTGCACGTGGTACAGGGACAAGTCCAGCTTGATGCTGATCTTCGAGTCCTCCTTGGGACATTCACTCGTTCCCTTGTCGAACGAGATACGGACGAGAAGTCGCGGAGAATGTTGCTCGTCGTAGCCAAGTCCGCTAATCGCAGCGATTGTCATCTTTCCGCTCGGAATCGACGAAAAACGAAGTCACCGAAACTCCTGGAATGGAGGGCCCTCGCCTGAGATTCAGATTTCGCCTCGTTGATTCATGCTACCACTTAGTATCGGTGGTCTACTCGCTGGTGTACGTGCACCTATCGAGATCTTCGTCTAACAACACCGTCGTTCTGATAATTCTGATCGATCTGATTACGGTCTACTACCACCTAGTCCAGCCACGAAACGATCGATTGTTTTACTTGGTCATCCGAGTAGGCATTTGGATCTTCGACGTCTTACACCACCTCGTTTTGATCCCTTTCGACGTGATTCGCTGTAACCTGCTCATTTTCCAACAATCGAAGAATTGGTATCTGTTGTTCCTGCAAAGCTTCATTAGTCTGTGTCTCCATTGTGCTATGAGTTTGGAATATGGAGAACACGTAGCTGTTCTGATCGCGAGTCTCAGAGACGTTCCCAATCGGCGGGCACACGGCGCCGGTGATATGTGACGTACGACTTCCGACCCTGGATTACTTCCCGACGAGGAGAGCAAGAAGTTAGTGTGACGCAGAGAGTGAGAGAAATTCCGAGGAATGAGTTTCTCAAAGGCTCGTTTTCGAAAAACGTTTGGCAGTGTTTTGGCTGGATCGAATAAACTGTATAAATGGCGAAGAATGTGTTGATTTTCGCACTCCGGGAAAAATGCGTCCTCCGATATGCTAGCTGTACGGACTCGGAAGCTTGGTTTTACGACGCGTACGCCCGCGACCCTCGAACGGACAGACACAAGCGCTAACTTCGATTCCGCTAATGATTTCGAGAATTCAGAGTTTGCCTTGATACAGAGGGTTCATTAGACCAATTCAATGCCCGTAAACAATTCATGATTGAGAGTTAGAATGTATGCGCAAGTACAATGGGACCAGGGACTATTTTAGAATCCCGCTCTGCCAACTGCGAGGGGCTCGTTCGAAAGCTTTGTGTTTCTCAGACGCTTGAGCGCGTGTCCGGCACTGAGGATGTGAGTCGAAATTAATCGACTTTTTACTTGAGACAAAGTATCAATTTTCGGAGATCATCATGCTCTCGATAACGAGGGAAAAAACAAGGACAGCGCCTGTTGCTGCTTGGAGGATGGGTCGAAAGATCGTTTGACACCTCGAGGCAACAGTGTGCCTCCGAAAGTCTTTCCTGCATCTCATTCGTCTCTGTTGTGTTTTTTCTCTCTCATCGTGAATGGAGATCTGCGGCAGTCGCTTCGCTGTGGACGCTCTCGGATTGCTGCGGAACATCAACTGCCGAAAATCCCCTACGGTGCTTGCTTGATGGCGAACATCATTCCCGATGAGAGCCTTCGAGCCCCTCAGGATGGAGAGAACGTTTAACGAGTATGTGCATCGCGGCAAAATTATTTTCATGCCGTCGGTTTCCCTGAGTCTTAGCTCGCTCGGGCAGCAGACGATTTCAGATTTGGTCAGCAGTCGACGCTAAAATGTTAGGGGAAGGCTCATTCCATCTTGAGATTCGTTGGGAAGTCTCCTAACTAAGATTCTCACATCATCGACACGGGAAATTCGGAGGAAAACTCGAGACGGGACGCTTGTCTTTTTTTGCGGGGAGGAGGTTCAGCAACAATTGACCAGGTTCAAGCGAATGAGCGATTTATGCATACGCGTGCGGCTGGTGACGGTCCCCGTGGCAGCAGTGCACACAGAGAGCAAGCGAACAGGCTTTGGATCTCTTGCGCCGCCTGGCACCGGTGTATAGCGACCATCCCCGCGCACAGGAGGGGTGCTTTAGCTCCCCGACCAGGTTTGATCCTCTCGGGCCAGCTGCTGGCGCTGAGTCATAACGGTCCGCCGCGAGCTAGTGTGGGTGGAATCAGCGGCTCTCGAGCTTCTCGCTTGGCCGTTCCGCCGACCGATCGTGTGCCACCTAGCTGACAATCGACAGGCTAACCTCCTTGATTTTGGAGTTCAGCATAAGGGCTGGCGGAATCGAGAAAAAAGCGTCGCTCGCGAAGCCCAGCTGGGGAACTGGTTGACCCCAACCGTCCAAACTGGTACTTCCAGTCTGGACCGGTATCGCGTCCCCACTCGGGACGGGTCCCCGCCGTCCCCGAAAATTACGATCGTTATACAAACCGGCTAGATTGCAAGAGTCGACCCCTTCCGGATGAATTCTCAGATCGAGATACGAAACACAAAATGCTTTTACCGTAATCAACAGAAACATTTTTATTCTGGTCGATATGACTAGACACTCTTTGGGTGGGGCTGTATCCTCCGCGATTCTGAGTATATTAATCGAACGTTTCCAAAAGAAAGTTTGCAGCAGATATTGAACAATTAACTCGGGAATGCTGATTTCAACAAGTGTATAACACGGACTAGCCTACGGCGAATGTAATGAAAATGTTGGATGCAAATGTGTTGTGCGTGGGCGTTCTGAATGACTGGGAGATCGAGCGAAGATTTTACAAATGGAATCCAACGAGGGAACAACCGATCGAGTTCAGGCTATTCGGCGTAGACGCGCAATGGCGTTTGTTGAGACCTTGAGAACAGACGAAGTTGTTCTCTTGGAGGAAAGAAGCGATCTGTTTGAAGGTCGGTCTGCTCTGAGGGAGCACCGACCAGCATTCCGCGATCAGATTGCGAATCGGACGGGGAATCGACGTTTTTGACGAAAGGTCGGGGGTCTGACCGTGGCCGATCTTGTAGAGGGTCTCCGTAGCGGATAAGTTGGCGAACGGAGTCTCATCGGCGAACAGCTCGTACAGGAAGGTCCCGAACGCGTAGACATCGCCCTCTCGGCTGTGGGGATGGCGAGGTGAGACCTTGGTCCCGTTGACGTGGATCGTCTTGACGAATTCTGGCGCCAGGGAGGCTAAGATCGATTTCGGAAGACAGCCGTAGTCGGTACGATCCACGAACGCCTCGGGAAAAGTCCGATCGAGGAGACAAACTTTAGCTCGTCGCTTTTCCATGATGACGTTTCCTGAGTTGAAGTTTCCATGCACGATGCCCTTCGCGTGAAGGTAACCCATGCCGTTCGCTACGTGGTTGGCGATAGCGAGCTTCTCGTCGAGTCGGAGCTGGCTCTGGATTGCGGAGACCTGGGGTCCGTCACAAGGCGAGGTCACGATCGCGAGATTGTTGCGCTCGATGCAAGCGCCCATGAAGAGGGTGCAGTTCTCGTGACGAACCTGCATCAGACGATTGACTTGTGTCCACAGATCCTGCGACCGCTGGAACGTGTAGATCGAGACCGGTCCGTGCCACTGACCCTCATAGATCTTGTTGTCGTGTCCGTTACGCACGAGACTGTTGAATTGGAGATCTTTCGCGGAGATACACCATTCGGACTCGGAGGACTCATCTTCCAGGGCGCTGGTCACCGTTTCGGGCGAAGCCCAAGTGGCGGCGCGAGCTTCTTTGCTTTCGGTTTTCCGTGTCGACCGAGGAGTTTTCATCGAGGCTCTTGTGTCGTTCTTCCTCGAGTTCTTGATCCAGGAGAACGCGGTCCTCAGAAACTCCGTCGGAGACATTGGGGACCTCGGACTCTTTGGGGAGACCGGTGCGGACGCCGAAGCGTTCATTGCGTTCGCTGCGGAAATGGACTCCGGCGTGAAGGGGAAGGCTGTCTGTTGAGCTCGACGGAGCACACTGGTCACGCACGAATGCGGTGGAGACGAATCCGCGCAGGCCTCGTGCGCCAGGAAACCGCAGTGCTTGCATCGGATGCCGGTGAAGTACACGATTTTGCTGCACGTATGACATTTCTTCGTTGCACTCAATTTACGTTGAAGTCTGGAAGGATAGAGAGGAACCGGAGGTTAGTCACCGGCGTGGTTTCCCTGGGGCCGCAACTGATTTTTTTTCCCGGAGGCGAATTATTTTTGTCGACCGACTGGGTCGGTCAAACGCATGGGATGCATACCTTGGTACCACAGGCTCGACGAAGAACATTTCGTTGCGAATATTCACAAGCGGCGAGCTGGGCTCGCTGCGAGCGAGTCTGTTGATTACTGGAGATGAAGTCATTGTGGCTAGAGTTTATCCTGCGCAAGATCACTGAATCCGAGACGAACTTCAGAATCCGCTATCAGTTCAACTGTCACTGGGGGAATCATGAACGAGTTCACGAGCGCGCTGTTGAGAAAGATCTGACTTGAAATGCCGGGTTGAGGATCTGGTCCGGTCTTATATACGAGTCACTACTGAGTTGTAAGCATCTGTCGAGGGAGAGAGCCAACCAAGCAACCAACTACCAACCAGCCAGCCGTCCAGCCGGCCGCCCCTGATAGCAGCAGCAGCACCACCAGCGGCAGTAGAATCAGAGACGATTCGGATTGGCGCGTGGCAGATGTGCTCAGACAACACATGGCGGCTCAGGAGGGGGGGAGATAGGGAGAGAGTCCGAACGAACGAAGAGAAAGAAGCAGCAGCTAAGTGCAGCACGCGACCAGCACTCGCATCAATGGCACCACCCCCTTTCTTTTTCTTTACCCGTCACTTCTTCATCTTCTCTGTCTACAATCAAGTCTCGTGCGTCTAACCCTTCTCCATGGTTATCACAATGAGCCGTCTGGCTCTCCAGACACGCGTGTCTTAAGGCAGAAGCTCCGTGGACGACTCCTGACGTGCGAGCGATTTCATCGGCAAAACAAGCATAATTTACATGACACGACTCCGTGTCCTTCGGGACCGAGACTGAACCTAAACGACACCTGACGGTGGACTATCTTAAGCGCCGAATGCCCACTCAAGTCGATCACGCTCCGCAGGATGCAGGACCGTACTCTCTCTCCAACGCATACTTTGACGGCGGACTTCAGACTCCACCGACGGCAGAAAACTCGAGTTTCTGGTGCACGAACTTATTGATTTCAAAGTTTGAGCCAAGGATCCCAACCGTAAGGCGATCCTTGGCGATCCCTGATCCCATCGAACGAGCCCCAGAACTCGGTTGTGACAACGAATGGTCTCTGGTCTCGCCCGGGACAGAGTTCTGCGGATTCAGAAGAAGATCGCGAAAATAACGAACTCACATTTTGATCTTCTTTTGGCGTAAACGTAAATCGACGGTTTCCTTGCTTGCTGGCTCCGTAGCATCAGACGCACCCTCGGCTCTTCATCGAGCTTTTCCGGGTATTCGCACGCGGTCCCGTGAGTCTTCTGAGCGGAGACTCAGATTGACGGAGATTTCGCGGTTATGTGCGAGAGGAGTGGTGACTTGGGGATGCCGGTCGACTGCGGTCGGGATGGCTTCGTTTTCATTTGGGGTACGTCGGGCCGAGCAGAGCTGGCTGAATTGATTTCGCACATTCGGGAGAATTAGTATTGACTTCAATCAGAAATAGGTATTGAGACGAGTGGGTGCTGCTGCGCTCGCGACTCTAAAATCGCAGCCTCCGCTAAGTCTGGCGCGCCGTCCGCTTTCGATCGAGGGAGCTTTAGATTATGGACGCTGCTGGCTGGATCAATTTGCGTTCGCTAATGTTCTCAGTACCATCGAGATCAAGAGCTCGGAATTTCAACGGAATATAGTCGAGTGGCGAGTGGGGATCACGCTCCGAACTTAAGCGAAGTTCCCGTCATTATTGTCGGCAAAGGCTGCCCGAGATGACGGTCGAACGCTCGGCGGCGAAAGGCTCTTCTCCGGGACGGGTATAGCAACTTTGAATCTCTCTGACACGAGAGGAGATCGGTTTTGGCAAATGGGGGCCTCTTCCGTCGCAGACTAGCTACTCTGCTTTGTTTTTAGATCCGCCTCTTTGAAGGGGTGGATGGATAAACGTTGCTCGGAAAACACCCTGCTCAACATGATTCTAGCCGTCGAACGTCAACATCTGATCCGGTCTCTTCTTCACTACACACGTGCTATTTTGCTCATCTGCGTGTGGGCTCGCGCAAACCATCGCCGCACCACATGCATACGTCGTCGCGCGACGCTTCGAGATTGTCGATTGGACGAAGGGAAAAAAGGCTCCATCGGAATGGACCTCGATTAGAGCTCTGGCTTTCTAAATTCGCAACATGATATTCATTCCCAAGGCCTGCTGGGCTTTTCCCGCGGTCTTAACCTCTCTGTATGATAATATTTTGAGAGAGTTAGCGAACAATCTTCGAGTTTGATGCCTGTCCGGGTATATTCGGTGTCCCGGGAGAGTTCTAAGAATCTCTGATAAATCTCTTCTCTGAGGTGTCCTCATGTGCTGGAAAAGAGGAAACATGAATGAACAGTTCGATCGGACTCGGCCGCCCCGAATGTCGCGGATATACATAGCTCTCACGGCGCGCTCGCTAAAAATATCGGAGGTGCCTCCAAGTTCTCTCTTCCCTTGGCCGATCGCCAGAACCACTTTCGTATTGCCGAAAGGCACTGCTGCTGGAAATGACGCCCAGCTCGATCTGAAATTGTATGAGCCTGCTCTCGACCCCGGGGGGACTATCTGCCGTCTGGAATGTTCCGCTCACCCCTTTTCCAAGGAATTCGAGGGTCTACACGATTTCATCTCGGGACTATCGAGCGGGAGAGCTCTTTAGTAGTGCTCCTATTCGGGAAAATCGCTCGGGAGGCATCAGGATCTGATGAATCCCAGCACAGAGGATTTCGCTTTAATCCGCGACCGAAAACCACCAACGGAATCGAGGTGAACTCTAAGTACGTCTTCTGCGAATCTAAAATCTCAGATCACTCGCTCGGATTTGGAACGTTTTGAGAAAAATCAAAGTTTTGAGATTGGCAGCTCGGTCGGGGAATTTTGGAGTGCCAATTGAGTGTTAGTTCCCCGGAAGTGAGCGATTCGAAAGCTCTGCGGGATAAAAATTCCGGATCGAGTCAGTGGAAAGGGGAGATAAAATTTGGCGACGGATTCGGAGCTTCTCAATCGACGAGCTACGCCGAGAGCGTGACCTGATAGGTCTGGATCCTCTTTTCAGAATCAAGCTTGAAGCTTCGAATTATCGAAACCGGATACGCGGTCCGTCAAGTGACCGTCAACTTGTTTCCGACCTACAGTCAGGTCATCTTCCCGAAAATCCTTCGCTGGCGTCCGCCAAGAATAAGGGAATTCTGTCGACCTACTATTCACGTCTGTATTCCCCCACGAATAGAGTCGCTCAGGACTTCGGACTCAAAAAACATTGAATTCCTGGTGTGATCTCTGAGATATCTGTCCCTTCCGCTGCAAAAAGAATCCCGCGCGATTAATCGTCCAGGGAAAACCTTGATGCTGTACCGGCACTCGAAGCGAGGGCACATCCCTGGAATCCTGTAACGGATCATAAACGCTGGCACACACGTCTACCGCGAAACACTGCCCCGGACCGTATGTTCCGTATGAGCCCAGCTCGGACACATCGGCTTCCGCAGAATTTATTTTGTGCGAACTTCCCGCGCGTCACATGAAGATATTCGGGATCGCGATAATGAATTGCGCTTCCACTGGTCAGCTCTGAGAAGTATTTCGAAGAAGCAACTTATCAACCTCGTTTGATGTCTTGATTAAGTGGACAACGATTGGGAAAAGACGTAAATTTGAAGCTTTTAATAGTGAGCGAGCTGAAAGAAAACGTATAGCTTCGGGCAGCTCAATTCTCGAATGATATAGGTCCGCGGCGTTTTATAAAACATTTCTCTTCAATCTGAGCTCCTCGGCTCACTACAACCGATGCGTTTGACCGGGGTTTCCATTAACGCCGAATAAAACACCGGTACCGTCATAGACCGGATTGCGGCGGAATTTCCGCTCCGGGTTCCGAGAAAGCGTGTTCGATCTCGAGCAAATTTCTGAATACGGTGGAGATTCCGTCACATTCCGGAGACGTTTCTCGGGCTCTCGAGCTCAAAAGACTCCTGAGGGAGCGGCGAAGGTTCCTTCTGGACTCCTTCGAGAAAATCGGCACGCGCCGAAGTAGAGCAGGTGACTTTCGATCCTACAAGACCCGTGAGGTACTGAAGGCCTTCTGGTGTCTACTTGTCTGCGGAGCCGAACTTCTGCCGCTCGTGCCTCTGCTGTCGCTGATGCCCCTGATCTGCAGTTGGTGGGTATTCAGCAATATACAAGCAACGGTTCCGATCGGAGGAGGGCAGCTGTGCTTCAGAGACACGCTCCTCAAGTTGAACTAGCTGCTCGCGACGGAGGCAGCGGCGGTGGCGGCGGCGCCTAGATGGATGCCTAGCTCAAAAGACGGACAGACTGGTCGGCAGGCCGGCCGGCAGGCAGGCAGACTAGCTGAGGCACCATCACCAGCCGGCACTCGGTTACTTTTCTTCTCGGCGGCCCGTGCCACCAGTCTGGCAGCTGGTGCAGAAGTGCGACAGAAGGGCAACGGGTCGAGGGTGTTCTTCGTTGAGCGAGCGAGCGAGACTTGTACACTGGACCACGAGCAGGACATCGACAACGATACAGACGACAGCGCTCATTGCTTTCCGCCGCCATGCCGGTAACACCACCTACAATGAGTGGGCGCACAACAATACCTACGGAGGGGGCAATCGTCCATCTGCTCTTTGCGAGGCTCAGGCGCGCGCGGGCTCCGAGTTCGCGAAGGTCAAGTTTGTGTTTGAGCTCTAAGCGTTTGACGGTAGCGCTTAACTGGAGACAGGAACGACATGCACCGAATGAGCTCGAACGGCAACTTGCCTGAGAAGCTCGGGAGGGTCGGTGTCGTGGAGCTGCAATCATACGAAGGCGGCGCGGTCGAATTCGGACAATTTTTTTTTCTCGGAAGACGTCTCCAGCCTCTGTCAACAACCGAGAATGTCGGTCAAAGTCCCAGCCGGCGGAAATTCATGAAAGGATCCGAAAGAGGTAATCCTCGAACACGCAGTCGATAATCTTGTTGTGGCCTAGTGCGGCAAAGCCATCGATGACCCGCTTTTCAGAGGCCTGGTCCGGTAGAAAGAATCGCGTAAGGTGGAGTGACCTTCCCAAAAACTGCCGGGAATCTCTCGATGATGTCAGGGAAATTCTCGAGATGCTGGTCCCCGGGGATCACCGCGTAGCGCGGCCAATGAGCTTTTTAGGAAACTCGCGAGACAAACCTAGATCCCGAAGAGAGACGGCGCGGGAACAAGTCTCGCTGTCTCCACGTTATCCTGCACTAGAAGGCGAACGCGAGACCTTCGACGAGATACGATCTGATTGTAAGGCCCACGCGCGGTGGCGGAAAGAACGATTGTCCAGTCCGCGGAACTTTCGTCGCTCGCATGGCGGGATCAAAGAGCTTTCCCTGGTGCATAAAATCTAGTCGTCCTCATTTCCCCACCTATCGGCGGCTCGTCCTCTCGGCTGAGAACACGGCACGCGCCATCACTTTCTGCAGAGCAGATGACACTCGATAGCCTCCATCTTCTGAAAGCCTTCTGGTGTCGTCTTTACGGCAGACAGCTTCTGCTGCTGCTGCTTGGCTGTTGTTGATGCCCCTCTCTGGTCAGTCGGGACGGTCGAACAACGGTTTCCATCGGAGGAGGGCAGCTGTGCTTCGACGGCACACTTCTGCTCGCGCCAGTCACTCAGCCAACTACTTGCTTACTTACCTGGCCGCTCGCTCGCTCACTCGCTCGCTTGATAGCTTGCTTGACTAGAGGCACCACCGGCAGCCGGCACTCGATTACTTTTCTTCGCGGCGACGGCCCGTGCCACTAGTCTGACAGCTGGTGCGCAAGCGCAACAAAGAGGCATCGGGTCGGGGGTGTTCTCTGTCACACTTTGTGCATAATATCCTCCAGGGCATGGGTGAAGGACGAAAACAGAGAGATGCACCTCGCATGCGAGTTCACTTGAAGGCTCGGACCTATGTACGTAGAATAGCAGCAGCGATGATGATTAAGTTTATTTAGCCACAAAGCATTCTAACCAATCAAGTGAAGAATAACAACCCGCGCAGCCTGCCTCCTCGACCGATTCCTGCCGATGGGCACCTCTGGGGCTCTACCTTCAACGCACGCGGACGTCTTTCTAAAATGCGACGTTTCTGGATCAGTCTTTCAGGTTTTCCTGTTCGGCGGCGTTCCCGAGTCCGACGTTCATATTATGTTTATCTGAAAGCGTGTTTTCGCTACTGAGGAGTGCGACGTAGGGGAATTGGATTTTTATTTTCTCTTGAGACAAAGGCGACGCTCGCTGCGGCAGACGACTGCACGCGTCGACCAGCTGCCGTACGGCTCCAACCTGGAGGAGCACGAGACGTCCAACGTTCACCGTGAAGCCGTTGTATGGAGAGCGATGTGGAGGGGCATTTGGTGGGTAGATCTCCTGTAGCGTACTGCCTACCAGCGGCTTCTGAGTCAACAGAAGACAATTATTAATATCCCTGTGTACAGATGAATATCGAGAAAACCATACGCCGTCCGTATCCACGCCACCGCCGTCCCGAACACTGCCCCGGTGCTCTTGTCGCTCGGGACACGTGCTCTCGGCCGAAGTTGATCGAACGAACTCAGGGCCTCAGCTCATCTTCTTGTCGTGAATTTGACTTTCGCTCAATGCTCTCCATACCGCATCTCGGCCCAAATCCGTTCCGACAGCGGAATAGTGCCGAGGTAACGTCGCACTCCCCTCGAGAAACCGAAAGACGGATTTCGGTCGATCGGGGATCTGGATCCGTGGATCCCCGAGGCAGACGACCGAGGGCAGGTAGAGCCCCTATCTGAAGCGCGGCACGCGTGGCGGAGCAGATGTCCGCTTCTAAGTAACGGAGTTTTTCTCTCCTTCTGCTGCGTTCGACGACGACGGTGTTCTGGTGTCGGGGGTGCAAGAGCAACCGTAGTCGTCGTCTGGTTCCTTCAACAGACTACCCACCAAAATGATTCAGCAGATGCGTTCAACATGCAGCGGGCTACCGACCAAATTACATGTGTGCCGTTGCGCTAGCGGCTGCTTGTTGCGGCCGCCGCTGACGGAGCTCCAACGAGACTCGCGTGCCATCAGGTCGGCTACCGGAGTTACTTGATCGGGACAGCGACAAAGAGTGCGAACCAACAGAGGTCTTAGGTCATCACCCGTTCGCTGGTCGGCAGCTTCGACCGGGTCTTTGGACGGACTCGATTGGATTGCGGAGCTCTCGGTGGCGGCGGAGCTTTTTCATTCGAGTGCACTGATCTGAATCACCTCTTGCACGCTGCGCGGCGATCTCTCCGCAACCCCTTATGTCTGATCACACAATACATTGATTTCTCTTCGGCATCTCTTCCGCATTCTACGAGCCGCCTCTGCATCGCAGACATCGTCTGATGATCGAGTCCAGTTGGTTGTGCAAGTCGACTCCCTCGGTCAAAGCGCCGCGTTGACCTCCGCAGCCGCAGTGTTTGGGCTGCTCCGCGCCCGAGTCCCTACAGACCCGTTTGGGCTCCTCGCAACGGGACGTAATCCCTCGAGAGGGTGCTTTCGATGCGCTTTTTGATAATTCGCGGAAATTTAATACTTCTTCCTACCCGTTGTGATAAAGCGGCCTCTCATTCATTCGGGCAAAGCTCGGCTCGTTTCGCGCTCCCTCTTGTTTCAGAAACGAGTGATCTGTGAGGCGCCGCTGTTTGTTCAAGGTGTTTATCCCTCTTCTCTCAAAGGCTCAAGCCACGTGCTGAATGAACTTTGTCACCTGAATGAAGTTGTACCACGACTTCTACTCCTAAGGCGAAGAGACAACGCCGGGTTTTCCAGATGCTTCCAGACGGCACGAGACCGGAGTCGGCATGGGTCCCGATGGAGAATTGACCGATCGGAACCGAAGACTCGTGGCTGAACTGGAACGTCTAACGGACTGTTAAAGACCGGTGGTGGGCCCCGTGTTGGGAGCAGCTGGTGTTTCGTTGAACCCTGCTTGAATAGAGCTCACTGGGATGGGCCACGGATCGGTCGAAAGAGCTGCACGAGGGCCAACTGGTCCTGCGGCATCTGGTGGCTCGTGCTGCTCTTGTCGTACAGCATACAAACAACGCCCGCCCGTCCGTCCGTCCGGCTGAGCGAACGAGACACCGGTCAGAGGGTCAACAGATGCAGAGTTCGAGCTTGAGACGTAGATCGTCATTTGCTCATGATGGTTTGTCTTCAACTCCTTCGGGGAGATTTCTCTATAGAACCGCGACGTCATCTGATAGGCTCATGACAGCTACAAGATCCTCCGACGCGCGGAGGACACCAGTACCTTTGGACGTGACGGCCGGATTCGGTGTCATGTCGGCCTAGAAATCTTGGAAAAATGATATATAGATTAATCGGACGAACGAAAAAAAATGCAAAAATGATCAATAGATTTATCGGACGAACGAATCTAGGAACATTCAGGAGAGAAGCCTCCCCGCGCTACTTTTCGGGGCACTTGGTACCTGAAAAAAAAACCTTCAGACACATCTCGCTCGAGAGCACTTCTATCGGTGCCAGCGAGCCATTAAAGGCTAAGAGCAACAGCTGATACCGTCTACGCATTCTCAACGGTTCAAATTGACTCGACGGCAGATGGCGCACGTCTACGGCACACGAACAACAAGAGCCGCCGACGTCATCGCCTACAAGAAATTGAGGCCTAGGATCATCAGAAGAATTCTGACGAATGCCCCTCACGGCAAACGACAGGTGATCTCGCGGACGGCGCCACAGCCGGACCCCACGGAATTTCTTGCGGACGGCGGCCGTTGGGTTCGAGCCAGAGCTTCGGCACACTTTCAGTTTTCCGCTATATGCGCGACCCCTCGAGCACTCGGAGTAGATCTACCAGGACCCCGAATCGTTCTACGATTCTACGGGATTGAGCGAACCGGAGAGGTTTCGTTTGGAATCGTAGCCGCATTTCCAACTCCGTAGAGATAGCTATGCTTATGAGAGAATTCTTATGATCTGGATGGAGATTATATGCTCGATTATTGAAGTCATAGTCGTCGAATTGGCCGGTCGTCAGTCGCGCAGTATAGCCTCAAATAGAGGTCGCCATATGCCACCTCCCTACGCTCATACAGAGACACAGAGCGAGAGGACTGTCCGCCACGCGCGGGGGCCTCCCGAGCACCACCATCCGCGGCGAACTCGAAAGATCTGCAAAGCAGTTCTAAACTTGAGCCATCAAGCCCCCTGGAGAATACTAAGAGGAGTCTCCAGTCGCTACGATCATTATTAACTCTTTGATTCCCCTTGGACGGCGACCTCGCCGGGATCCTGATCGTAGAATATCTTCGCAATTTTTCTTTCGGTGTGCCGCGACGCAGTCGCGCAGAACTCCGGCTCCGGACTCGTGGCAGAGGCCCCTGCACAGATGCAACGAGAGCAAAATCGTGGTGCAAACCTTGGCCGGGCTAGGAACCTTGCGCGGGTGGACCAATTCGGTTAGTGAACTCGTCAGAATCCACAAACTGTGGAACGAAAGAGGCTATCGATTTAACGCTCAGACGACACGAGACAGACGTCGGGTAGTCTGAGAGGTCTCGGGAAGGGCAATGCAGTGCTGAAGACCGGATAAACCGAAGACCGGACCATTCCATCCCCTCGATTCGGGAAGTGCGTGACTCGGTGTCCAAGCAAAGACTTCCAGAGCGAAAATCGAAGTTTCCTTTTCGTTTCAGAATACCTTCGAGATTTCCTCTGCCAGTGTGAAAAGTCCCAGACCACCTCCAGACATTGAAGTTTACGATCGTCGCGTTCTAACGGTGATCGGGAATGCTTCACATTCCTCCGCGATCTCCACACAAAGAACTCCCATATTCTCTACAGACTTCGAATTTGTCGGGGAGGTAGTTTGTTGTCGGCTGAATTGTTGGCTTTCGTGGCGCATTTCTGCAGCGAGAAAGGAAATCACCGATCCTTTCGGGTATCGACTCGAGCTTCACCCACGCACGCTTTCCATTATGTTGAAATGAGATCCATCTGAGGTTTCATGTTGCCTTTCCTGCGCACGACGAAAACCTCCTCCGTGACTTCCCCTCCGAAGAAGTGAAACTCCACCTCAGCTCCGTGGCAGGAGGCGAGCGCTTGGCAAACTTGTTCATATTTTCTCGCGGAGGTCGCTCGTTGTTTCGTGTGTGTGCCATGAATTTTAATTCTACCGCCCTGCCTCGCCCAACCTAAACCGAGTGAGCAGCGAGCGCTCGAGGTTGAACTCGAAGTGAAAGCGTAGGCCACGACAACGTCCTTGTAGAAGATATTCCAAGCCCATATGTCGACTCTTATGGAACGACAACATATGTCGTTCTGGGTGGCTCGAGCGACACGTTCACTGGTGAAACCGGTTACCCCAAAGACCGTTATGTCGGCGGAGAAATTCTTCGAGAAAAAATGCGCTTCATGTCCTCCGCATCGAGACCGTTGAGGTCGCGCGATCGAATAATGGACTTTCACAAGACATAGCCGGAGTGAACGTAATGATCCCGGAAACGCATCGTTCGACTCAAAACCAGTGAAGGGATATCGCGGAAAACGGCAACCCATGGATTTAACTCGGATGAGCTTGGTGGCATTCTCCATCGAGAGCCACGAGCGACGAGTTATTTCGGTTCATGCGATGACCAAACTAGAATATCCGGTGAAGTGCACTCCTTCCGGAATAGAGAGCGCAAGTGATACGAGCTGCTCCCCGCGTGTTCGGAGTCCAATTCCAATGAGAATCCTCCGACGCGCGAGAGAGATGTACAGAGATCTCGAGCTCAGCTGAGGCGGCTTTCTCGGGAACCGACGCTAGTAGAAAACAATTCCCGCATGGTTTGGACATCACGTCGGAACAAAACGCTCGATGCGACGCGCATCCTTCCTTTCTTCGTGCGCTTGCCCATTCGAGAACTACGTATATTTCGAAGTGGGTGCGCGCGTTCGCTCGTTCTGAGTAGCTGCGGAGCGAATGAGAGTACTCACTGTCGAGAGAGAATCCGTGTGGTCTATCAATCCCTCGCGTTCGTAGCTGCTACCCGTATCAATGTTGCGGGTGTTAAGGAGACTCCGTTGAGATCAACTAAGTCATTGTGCGGCAGAGGTGTTCCACGAGCCGCGCCATGAAGCTCCTTGTCTGCCTCTTTGGGCTTTTTGCCTCATTCGCTCAGGGCTACGATTACCAAACGTTCTGGTTCGAGACGAAGGTGAGCTGAGTTATAATGACTGGTCCCGCGCCCGGGCGGCGAACGGTACCACACAAATGTTCTCTGAAAAACTCTGATCCTCTGTTTCAGATCGACCATTTCAGTTTCGCAAGGAATGACTCTTTCAAGATGCGTGTTCTCTACAGCGATAAGTACTTTGACAGCAGTGAGCCAGGACCGGTTTTTTTCTACACTGGGAACGAAGGAGATATAGAAACGTTCACCAATAATACAGGTTCGTTAGCGGTTCCTCCGCTCCGAGCAATAGCTTGGTTTTGCATCTCTAAGCGTCCACTAATGAGGTGGCTGATCGCTCCCTATCGATCGAACGGGTCGGGGAGCTAACTATTAGGATCTGGTTGTGCGATTTACCGTCAAATGATTCTCGCTTCGCGAGCCTGTCTCGCGATTGTAGCGAAAGGACGATCTCAACCTCTCATCGATCTCAGGTCTCATGTGGGATTGGGCAGCCGACTTCAAAGCTCTTCTGATTTTCGCCGAACATCGATTTTATGGGAAATCAATGCCCTTCGGAGACAAATCCTACGACACCTACAAACAATATGGATATCTGACCGCCGAACAAGCACTAGCCGATTTCGCGGATCTCATTCAGCACGTCAAGAACAACTGGCCAGTCAAAAAAGTTGTCGCCTTCGGTGGTTCCTATGGAGGCATGCTATCGGCTTGGATGAGAATCAAGTATCCTTGGCTCATTGACGCGTGAGTATTTCGCTGATTACCCAGCGACTACTGCGACAAACGGCGCTGCATATATCGGAAGACAGTTTTAGCGCTGGATTGTACAATATTCTTCAGGGCTATTGCTGCTTCAGCACCCATCCTTCAATTCCAAGACGTGACGGCGTGCGGAGTGTTCGATAAAATCGTCACCAAAGCCTTTGCGAAAGCGAGTGAAAGGTGTGCGGACAACATCCGCAGATCATGGATTGCTCTCGAGAAGCTCGGGAAGGATGGCGGTAAAGATCGAGTTCGAGAGTATATGCGGTGATTTAAGCTCGGACGGATGGTTCGTATAATGTTTTTTTTCCTCCAGAGAACGGTTCTGCTTTAATCCGCGAGAATTTCCGCATCTGTCAGAACGTTCTGCCGTCTAATTACACGGCCGTGCGAGACTGGCTTCACGACACCTATGGCAATCTAGCCATGATTAACTACCCCTACGGTACGAACTTCCTGAAGAAGGTTCCTGGACATCCCGTTCAAGTATCCTGCAGTTTCCTGGATAAAGACTTCCACTGCGATGCCGAGCTTCTCAAGGGCGTCTACCAGGCTATCAATGTGTTCCATAACTTTTCTGGAGACACCCAATGCAACGACGTCGGGAACTCCGGTCAGTAATCAGCCGATACTCTCATTCCGAAATCCGTCTACCTTTCTGCGACTCTGCGTTGAAGTGGTTACAATCATTTTTCACAGGTGGGGACAACATCAGCGATGCGGGTTGGAACATTCAAACCTGCAACGAAATGGTTATGCCTTTCTGTGGAGATGGCCAAGAAGATATGTTCTATCCCTATTCGTGGAATTTCACACAGTTTCGAAAAGACTGCGAGAAGAAATATGGGATGACTCCGGACCTCAATATCGCCAGAAGGATGTTCGGTGGCAGAGATATCAGTGCAGCCAGCAATATCGTGTTCAGTAACGGTGATCTCGATCCTTGGTGTGGAGGTCAGTGTCTCGGCTGAGTGCGGTCAGAAGGTTCCTCGGGAGCATTCCCGAGTTTTGATTTCAAGAGACTCTCAGGATACATGTCGCAAATCTAATATTCTGTTCCAGGCGGTGTCCTGAAGCAACTGAACCCGACCTTGCCCGTGGTCATCATTGAAGGAGGGGCTCACCATTATGATCTCCGTTCAGCGAGCCCTCTGGATACTCCGGCTGTGATTTCCGCTCGAAACGTAGAGAAGGAATATATCAAACTGTGGATAGGCGCCTCTTGAATATGAGTTTCATCCAGGCGCAATAAAAAGCGAATCCGCTCGTTGTGGATCGTTGAATCCCACACGGTATGACTCGTTACGGGAAAATCTCGTGAGCCGAGATGAGTAGGAGCCTAGAATTCAGTCAGGACTCTCCTGGTGAGAGCTCCATGCATTGTATCCCCGCAGTCTTCGCGATTCTTCCCCGACATTGAATCTCCCGAATATGCCTCAGACCAAAAACGAAAATGCGGTCGCGGGAGCGTGGCTTCATTGTGGATAAAAGGCACCGCAAGCGAGGCGCTTTGATTGAAATCCACGAAAATCGCTCCGTGAAATTGATTTCTTCATGAAAAGGATCCAATGGCCTGGAGGGCAGATGATTCGGGGAAGCATATTATGTATGTATTCCCTCATGGCATACCATCGATTCGCTGCGGAGCGCTTGTTCTACCACATCAAAGAGCCCCCGAAGAGGACGGATCCATGACTTCACCTTCCACCCACCAGGAATCCTCCCCTTCAAAAAATCCATGCACCTTTCTCCACAGATCTCCACCCGCCGCGGCTATTCTTTTCGAAATAGAATTCTCCTCATTCTACGGAAGAATCGTCTCCGCCAGCGCGTTGTGCCCCAATCGGTTATGACCCGACTCCCCGAATCGCATCTCCCCAAATCGCATCCCCCCGAATCGCATCTCCCCGAATGAGGCCTCCCACAATTCAGGCGCGCTGCTGGCTCATCTCAGGCTGAGTGGAGTTTCTATGATTCTAGAAGGAAACTGTGGTGAAGACTCAACATAAAATAATATCAATCCGAATGCTACGAGCGCTCTGAAGCGGATAAGACGAGAAACCGGGAGCGCATGGGTTTACCTCATTCTAAATGCTGTGAGTTAGAGAACTCCGAGTCCATCGAGCAATTCGAGAGCGGAAGTTCCCTTAGTTCTATGCTGTGAGTTCTCGTACGGCTCTAAGCCTCCAGGATCGATATCCATGAATCCGCACAGATTAGAGAAGAGCGTTTGCACCGATGATGATCTCGTAGATGAAACTCGCCGAGAATTCCGAGATATCAACAGCAAACAGAAGGAAGTTCACGTTCTTATCCTGTCATGTCTGGGAAAAATCCGTGAAAATCCGGCTTGGCTGCTGGTTTGATTTGCTGTGGCTTCGATAATCCGCCGGAAGAATGGAAACCTTGCTTTATGTCGGACGTTCTGGACGATCATAGGAGCTCCGCTCAGTCCTGAGCAGGCCAGCAAAGCGCCCAAATTAGGGGAGAATTCATTCGGGGAGATGCAATTCGGGGAGACGCGATTCGGGGGAATGTGATTCTGGGGGATGCGATTCGGGGACTTGGGAGTGTATCACCCCAATCGAGCCCGAGAGACGTGATTTTTCGATTTCAGAGCAATCATTAATCATTACCGATATTCAGAATAGGGAGCTGAAGTCACTCATCGGATCTCGAGCTCATTACGACAGCGTCTGCTCTAAGATCTCCGGCGTTCCGTAATATCTGATGAACTCGTGACTCTGACAGACATCATTCAGAAGTTTGATTAGTCCAGAGTGACAACACCCACGAGGAGAGAGAATACCAACGTCATACCCCGCGCTAAGGCGCTTCGGGAGTCCGGAGGCATCGCAAGAAACTTCCCAGGGACTTCGAGCGTCATGATTTTCAAGCAGAGATCATCGTCACCAACTCCTGGCGAAGATTGGTCGACCGCTCTCAATGAGCTGGCTTCAGCGGACATTTCCCGAGATTCGCTTATCCCCGGACCTCGCCCGCGTCGGGCAACGTTAGCTCGTGGTCACCTCTAGACTGGAATGAAGCCTGGCATTCTTGCCTTTCTACCCCCGACTCCTCGGCATTCCGCAGTTAGTCCGAATTCGGAGTTTGATGTATATCCCGTGAAACATGGACTGGACGCGTAGCTCGAAGCGCCGAGCTACGGAGTCCAATCATACCTCGAGCCTACCTCTAAACCATACTGCATGCCGCTTACGGTGCTAGGCACGCGCGACCTTCACGCGGGAGTGAAAACCGCGCCAATTTTTGAATTTCGAAATCTGTTCCCAGAACTCCCTGTGGAATGGTCGATATCCTGAACGAGTCCCGAGCGTCGAGAATGTTGCGTGCTCCAGGATCGGGATTCCAGTTTTGATCCTGGGCGGGGATCGGAGATGCGGAATTTGATGATGTTTCCAAAATATATTCCTCATTTCGTCCTAGAAGCGACTGCAGCGCCCTCGGAGCACGCTTCTGTTATTATTGAAGCCAGAATGAAAAGTTATTGGAGAACTAGATCTAGTGCTGGAATTGCTAGACTGATCTCGTGTTGGCAGCCCATGTTGGGTTTTCAAGCCTGGTGATGAACTTATGCCTTTAGGGAGCCTCCGACCGCCGTGTCCCCAGTGGCGCAATCGGTTAGCGCACGGTACTTATAAGGCAGTAGCCGTGAGCCATGCCGGGGTTGTGAGTTCGAGCCTCACCTGGGGAATAATTTTAAGAACCCTATTGACCGGAATAAACTTTCTTTATTTCGGTTAATCCCTCAAATCAACCGAAAAGTGCGAATTATCCAAGCCGTGGACAGGAAACCTCCGAGTTTTCGGTTCCGCATGCTCTAGTGGTGTTGCTTGTTGGCAGAAACCCAGCGTAAGGTGTCCATAGATTTTCGAGATCGATGAACTTCCAGGATAAGACTTAGCGATGCTAGTCATGGCAAGCAGCCAGCCTTCAGCCCGCGGAAGGACTCGCTTCCATCGGTTTAGCAAATCAATGGACCTAGCGTCGAAGCGCAACGTCTGCCTGTGGTCAAATAGCGTAGAGCGCTCCACACTCCGAGGAGTCAGCTGTGCGGAGGAGAAAATCACATAGCAATCAGCCACGTCACCCAGTGGGGCTCTCCCATTCTTCTAGTAACGCTCAGATCTCTGAGCCCATCCAGATATCAGGCAGAGCATACCTTCCTGATAGCAGCCGAAAGGAGGATCGAAAATCTGATTTGAGGTTTAGCTCCGCGACGAAGTTCGGAGGCGGACTATTTTGCTGCTCGCTGCCTAAGCGTGGCGGAATCAGATCCGCTACTGCCCCTCTCATTTCCTTCGAGACACTCGCCACATTCAGATCTACTGACCTTCGAGTCATAGAAACGGATCCGAGCCATGTATCTCGGGCTCGGGATCGTGGGACGACGGAGAAAGCTTCTGCATTGAGGATATGTACCAGGTATGTAGAGTTTCACCGTCTGTCGAACGATTCAAGATGGTGAAACGGATGAGTGACGGGACACCCCGAAGCTCGCTTGCACAAGGAAAAGAGAAAATATCGATCGAAGGAAGAATCGGTTTCGTCTAAAAATATCTATCAGTTTAGATTTATTTGGCAGACTCCGCCAGGAAGTACTTGGAGAATGATTTCAATCGTAACAAGAACCAGAGCCGGACAGAATACGGGAGCTGTCCTCTGATGAAGTTCCTTCTCTCTGTCGTACCACACCCCTCATTCGTAGCGCTTCCAATGTCAGTCGAACCATCAATCATTCATCAAGCATTCTCACGAGTCCTTCTTAATAATCAAGTGATCCACTTTTCATCATATATTACAGCATCGACTAAATACACGGAGTACACCGCTAACCTCAAATTTTTCTCGTCTTTACAGGCTTCCTGTAGATGTTGTTCCAACGTCTAGTCGCCTGATATTGAAACTAATCGCTCCGAGCCGCGTTCATCGACCGAGACCCCTCTCACAACAGGTATGGGGGGGGGGACAGCGCTTCCGCAGCGTATATACACCGTTGGCAATCTGCCGTCAGACGCAAACCCGAGTCCCGAGGCGTATCAACAACTCAACAACGATCTCCCTGTTTTTTTTTTGGGAGGGAGAGAGGAATAAACTATCCTTGCCGCTTGGTCCTTCGACTAGAGCTCCCTGAGGATCAGGGTTCTTGAGTTCCTACACCGAAGAGGGAAAACCACACCCGACCTGCTCGGGCCCGGCGTGGGCCACGACAGCATGTTCGCGTACTTTAAAAGTACAGGTCTTCTTCTAAGTTTTCCGCCTAGTTCATCTTCTTTTCTCCTCATCCTGGCCGAGTGCTTCGAGCTTCTACTGGCTCTTTCCATTCTTGAGCAACTCCTCGGGGTTCGGCGGTTTCGTGACATTCAGCCAGGTCGGAACGTCTTCTGATTTCGGGGTGTAGGTCCACAACGCGGAGTGGTCCTTCTTTTCGATGGAGTTCTGCTGTTCTTTCTGCGTCACCTCGACAGGTTTCTTCTCGTCTTCGACATTTCCGATCTGTTTGCCGAGATGAAGCCGCTGGTAGAACTTCCATTCGTCCTTGGGCGAGCCTCGCTTCAGCATGCCGTCCCACTGGAGCTCCACCATACCTCCTCGGCGAGCGATCATGGAGCGGACTCTGTTCGCGTACTCCATGCTGGTTTCGTTTTTGTCTTTGCGGATTGGCTCCATGAACCAGACATCGGCGACGATCGCCCAGGAAGTCATCATCCGCAGGAGATACATGATATAACCATGTTTCGCCGAATCCCAGAAGGGATCGCCGAAGGCGGGATTGTATCTGATCGCGCACGGGTGGATGGGAGCTGGAAGCGAGTTTGTAATAATTGTTAGAGGACTGATCGATGATACCCTAGCGAGAGGAAGTTCTGCGGAGTATCTAAGGGCTTTCCTGAGACCCCCTGGGATCCCTTCTAAGGGAGACGACGATAGTTACCGTCAACTTCGAAGGATCCTTTCTTGAACATCATGACGGATGTGTTGTTGACACATGTGCCTTCAGGGAAGATGAGGATAGGGAGGTTGTCGGGATTATCGACGTGCTTCTTCATCCTCGCCGCCGTTTCTAGACGGTCTTTGTCCTCGCCGCGTTCGAACCAGATGTGGTTACACATCCGACCTAGGTAGTTCTGCAGCAAGCCCAGGAACCCACCTTGATTTTGCCCAACCTAGAAAACGGGTCGAACTCGACGTTATCGAGGGCTCTCCGAAAATTCTCAATCACGCCTCACGGCCCGGCGTTCCTGCCGCCTTCGCTCACCATAGCGTAAACATTGTTCTGACAGAGGATGCAGACATCGATTGGTGAAGTGTGGTTCGCAACGCAGATTCCTCCGGGACGGGCCGTATGTTCAGGATTGTGGAAATTCACGGTCGCCGAAATCGCTCGACCCATCATACGGAACACCACCAACGATATCGTGGAGTATAGCCAGCGTTTGAAGCTGTGAGAGTTGATGCAAATTAGCATATTTACCCTCATCGATTTCCATCTACAGGGACTACAAGCTAGGATCGAGCACTTCTCACTCAGAGCCAGGCGAGCCTATCGTGTGCGAATGCGAATTTCCCACAACGCTACCGAATCTGAATTTTGATCCCTTCGCAAGAGAACCAATGAAAAAAGTTTCGAGTTATCCCATCGCGGAAAAGAACTCAGGAAAATACACTAACAACCAGGTGAATTCATAGGGTGCTGATAGACACGAAAACGTGCAGAAGACTTTCGCAAACATGGAAAAGTCTGTCGAGTTGGGTGGGATGCAAGGACTAAAGATTTCGGCGAATTTCATCCTTACCGAACAGTGTACCTGCACATGGCGAGATTTGCGGGGAAGAAAGAACGGGTTACTCTTTTATGGACACCACACAGAGGTATCACAGTAAACATGAGGTCTTCGTCCATCTATGACACCCGTCTCGGCACACAAAGTTTTAATTGTGATCGATATGATATGGCTTGGCGAATTTTATTACCTAGGGGGAATCGCGAGTATAAGGGCTCGATTCCGGACGTCAGGAACCCCAGCTGACTGACTCCCCGGACTTCCATTCACTTCGTCAATAGCTTACCGAGAATCCTGCAGGGAACCGAGGAAGCTGCCGAAAATAACAAGAATCAGGACCGCCTGGAATGTCAGCATTACCCTGACTGGGAACAAAAGAAGATACCGGATCAAGCAGCCTACAGCCCACACCAAGGTGAGTCGCCAGCTGGAAAAGAAGAATATGAGAAAAGATTAGTCTGAATTAACATGGTGCTGTATTATTTCATTCGTCCAATTTTCACCTCACAGAAACCTCGAAATCGGGATTCGAGAATCGCGCTCATGATCATGAAAAACTTCCACGGGTTCCCATGTCTTCGAGGGCGAATTCATCCAAGGTGAAAGCTCGGGAATCGATCAACGATTTGGGATGGCCGCTTCCTGCTTCTGGAATCCCCTCGAGATATGAGCGGCGTCCATCTTAATCACTCGGTCAGCTATAAAGAGACACTTCGAGACTCCCGAAGGAGATATTCGACGAGCCCACCAGTCACAGTCACACTGTAGCCCGGTCAGCAGCAAGCTCGAGGAATGCGTCTCTTGATTCTCGACGACGAGAAAGACGTCTGCCATTTCGCGGCAAAGCTCGTCAAGAAGCGAATCAATGAGTATGCACCAACGGAGGACAGGTCAGTTCTCCGGGCGGCATCGAATTCAATTATATCGCCCTTTATTTCATTCTGAGTATCCTACGACGCAGACCATTCGTTTTGGGACTACCCACTGGAGGGACCCCGAAGAAAATGTATGATCGATTGGTGGAGTTCTATCAGGAAGGTCAGCTCTCGTTCAAACACGTCATTACTTTCAACATGGACGAGTACGTCGGTCTCCCCATCGAGCATCCTGAGAGTTATCACTCTTACATGTGGCAGAATCTTTTCAAACACGTCGACATCGATCCTGAGAATGTGAATATTCTCGATGGAAACGCCCCCGATCTCCAACTCGAATGCGCCAATTATGAGGCGAAGATGCAGGTAGGCTCTCCTAAATCAGGGAGCTGCGCATTTTTTTCCGACATAGACTGAGTATTAGATGAAGTAAAGAAACGACTTCTCCTCAGCAATTGGGTGGAGTGAAGCTTTATATCGGAGGTATCGGCCCGGATGGTCACGTGGCATTCAATGAACCCGGATCCAGTTTAGCTTCGCTCACGCGAGTGAAAACTCTCAACATGGATACGATAAGAGCTAACGCGCGTTTTTTCGGCGACGACATTTCGAAAGTCCCGACGCAAGTGAGTGGTGTGACAAGGCATGTCTGGCGCGTGCGTAACAGGAAACGCAAACGCCGATTCACTCGATAGGGGCTCCTTTCAGGCTCTTACTGTCGGCGTTCGAACGGTAATGAACGCTGAGGAAGTTCTGATTTTAGTCAGCGGCGCTCACAAAGCGATGGCTTTACGCATGGCCGTGGAGGAAGGCATAAATCACATGTGCACCGCTTCGGCCTTCCAAATGCATCCGAACGCGATATTCATCTGTGACGACGACTCCACTCTAGAGCTGAGAGTCAAGACCGTGAAATACTTTAAGGATCTCATGAAAGTTCACGCGAAAATTGCTGATTGAGGCTTCATCGATCAAATTCTGTGACGAACGGAGAAAATAATAGCGAATAAAAACTACGCAAACGATCCGTCCCATCTAGTAGTGGAGAATCCGCAGGCGACCTTTCAGACAGAACCTCCAGAATCAAAAAGCGACTTCTCGAAAATCTTGTCAGAACGCTGACGGAACGTCTCATCCCCAACAAGTGAAGCGAGACGTCCATGCCGAATACCTTTTTATTTTTTTATAAATTCGAGGCCTCCGACCGGGAGAGAATATTCGACCCACCTGATGAACTGGTAGTTCTTGTTGGTCCGAGTCAGCAGATTCCAAGACGCGAGTTCTTCGGCTGCGAATCTTTTGGTGAAGTCATCGTCTACGATTGCCTCAACACCCTTCTTGATAAGGGGGAACAGATCATTCAGCTGGAAGTCTTTCCCGACGGGTTTCTCGAGTGTGACCAGAGGCTGTGTGGGAGCCACCTGCATGTTCTCCTTCTCTATCACCTGGAGACGGTCGACAAAATTAGCGAGATTCGGAGCCCCCGATGAGGCGGAGGGAATTGCAATGATCGCGGGAATGCTACCGCTCGTATTGTGGTCAACAGGTAGAGATGACCTGCCTTGCATCAAATTATCACGTTACAGACCTCTTTGGACGGACATTGGAGTTCTTCGTCTTCTGAATCGAAATCACGAGGTAGAAGGGAGTCTCCATTCGGTTTTCCGAAATCGACAGCGTCGAATCTCGACGTGTCGAGTCTGCTGAGATCGGGTCTGACGCATGTACTTCTCCGTTGGATGACTTTTTCGACGCGATGACGTTCCACCTTCACGGCTCCGAACTGGAATGGCCAAGAGGAAAACGTTGAGAGTCTTTGGTTCAGACATAACGTCGTTTTCCGGGGTCGGATGTCTAATCCGACCATCGATCCGATTTGAAAACCTAGGAAGATAACAAGCGCGAATGATATGAGAACACCGGATAACTCGGAGAGCACAGCTATGGAAAGATACCTCGAGCATCAGACAATCCGCATAGCTTTCCGCGCTTGCTCCAACGAGAAACTGGAAATCTTGCTCGAGACCCCGGAGGAATATCGAACTTAACGCGAATAACGATCCTATCAGCCCCTAGGCAGGGGTTAGCTGTATTTCGAATATGGATTGTCAAGGAGCAATTCGCGGGATCGAGCATGATCTTACGCTTTTATGGTCTTTTCCGGCAAGATTTCTTCGATTGTCATCACCATTTTTCTCCTCGTGACAATATTGTCGGAGAGTTCCTTTCGACCGCGAAACCCATTCCAAAGGGTCAAATGGGGAGAACACAGATGGTTATAAAATTATCAACCAGGGTCAATCCGGTTATTTCGCTGAGGGAATTTATCTCTCTGATTCTCACACGAGATCCGCTGTCGTTTCTGAGATTATCCGAATCATCACCGATTCAAATCCTCCATCAGGTTCCAAGATGGTTCTGTAGAGTGCTCGTCGCGTCATCTGGTCCGTTTGCGTAAGCGTATCTAAAAGCGGTGCCTCTCGACAAAACGATACGCGACACCTTGGCGAACGACAACCAGATAACTCTCTTTATCGAGTAGAACTTGCCGCAATTGGGATCTATTCTCCGTCGCGCCATTCAATTCATTTGGCGATAGAATTTATCAACATTGATCTCGATCCGTACTTTTTTCCCAGACGACTCGAGGATGACCGCTCCGCTGAACGGACAATACGCAGACAGCAGCTGTGGAGCCTTCGGGAAGATTATAATCAGATCTCCAGAAAGAGTTCGCTCCAAGGTTCCAGGGTGCTGCTATCTAGGCAACGCTCGAAGTCCACACGAACAATGGATCCAGCCGCTGGTTTCCATCTCGAAGGATCGAGCTTTCGAATGGAAAAAAAACTGGGAAAATCTTTCCCCAAGGTGTGGGAGGCGAGATTTCCGAGGAATGGGACCGCCATTAGGAATCTCAACCCCTCAGGACAAACAAGATCGCGGAATCCCAGTTCATCTGCCACTTGCGTGGAATTTGGGGAATGAGGCTTTCTGGTGCCATCGCTTTCTTGAGAGCCGGCTGTCCTTGTCCTCTTTATCACGCTTACCGCGGAGTGAGAAGGGGGGGGGTCAAACTCTGATGGAAGACTCGAGACGTGTCTATGTTCGGGGAGGGGAAAGGGAGGGGGATCATTTTTCGACTCAGTGCGAGTTCGTACGTTTTCCGAAAGCTAGCGCTGCTGTCAAATCATGGCAGGCCGCGCGATTCTGGTGGGGGATTGGAAGTTATACACACGTGTTTCACACACGAAGTATTTCCGAAGACCTTCACGACTATCTCCAATAGACATCACGCGCCGTCTTCTCAAGATCGGTGCCAAGTTTCAAACCACCTGTTCTGGACTGATTATTATCTCCGTTCTGTGATCGCACACATCCGGATGCCTTCGGGAGATGCCAATGTAGAAATTGCCACTGTAAGGCAGCGGATAAAATGTGAAACTCCGCGAAAGCTCTTCCCGGTGTCTCTCGATCTCCAAGCCGTGCGCTCCCGCGTGTTCATCTGACGCGGTACGGATTTCTTTGCCGGAATCAGGGATGGAATCGGAGAAGGCTTTCGTCGGGAAGTAAGTTCGACACCGCTTCGAATCACCGGACAAATTGGCCGGAAACGGCAAATCGAATGGGAAAGCCGAGTCAATATATCAAACAGTCAGTGAACTAGCAAGTTTTGTCTTGACTCAACACCGGTCACACATTTTGTGAATTGTTGCTCTAGCATAGGCGGACTTTACGAACGACATCCCCAATCAAATGAGACAGCGAATCGACAAATGCAATCGACGCAATGAGACAGACAAGGGCCCAAGAGTTGAGCTCTCCCGAAATAATCGAAACTGCGGCCGTGAACAACATCCAGCCAGCGTCGAGCGATCATGGAAGGACTTCAAATACCCAAATTACACTCGTGGAGCACCGCAGAAATCGGGATCAGCCAGTGAGTCGTCATAATATCGAGCATCATCGACTCTCATGTGACGAAATATCATCTTCACGGGACGGCAGAAGAAAACCTCCCGAAAGCCAGTCGCGCGATCCGATCGCGTGGTCGCGCTGGTCAATCGCTCAGGGGATTCTGAACGTCGAGCCCCAGAAGTCGACGGCGACAAGTAAAACGTGGACACCGAAAGCCGCTGCGGAATGCGCGAAGACTCCGACGGCTTAGTCGAAATTATCAAGGAGCGAAAACCTCATGAGTCAGCTTTCGAAGGTCTGACAGTTGCGTTGAGGGAGCACCGGGCAGCCCCTCGGACCAGCCATCGAGCGGCTGGCTGACCAGCGATTGAGAAACGTTGCGCTCAGAGAGAACCTGTGGCTTTTTCGTGGTCATCGAACTCACCTCGAATAGTTTGTAGAGCATTTTGACGTACATGTCCCTGCCTCCGAGCGAAACATTGAACACGCCGCATACACCGAGAGTCCAGGCTGTCCACACGTAGAATGTATAGGGATTCCAACCCGTCGGAAACACGATGAAAACGAGCCATTGTATGAGACTTAGAGCGAACCAAGAGACACCCACATATATGTAGTAGAAGAGCAGAACGAAAAACGACACCACGTCCAACATGGTGCTCCGTTGGGGCACAGAGACGTTCTTCTGGGCAGTTCCACAGCGGGAGCTTGTCTTGTTGTCCCTTGTCCGAAGCTCCCTTTCACTCGCTTGCCCGTTGAAACCAACAGCGGTTCACCAACTGCGGAGGAGAGCCAGCAGCGGGTGCATGCACAAGGCAGTAAACAAAGACGAATCCGAGGGAGAGGGGCCCGTTCGGCGGCAAACCCGAAGTTGGAGGCAAACGGGACGCGACACGGAATCGCCGACGGAGGCAGAAAGGTCCTCCGCAGTTGGAATGCCATAGCTTGAGCTCGCGTTCCCGGGTAAGGACAGGGGACGCAAAAAAAGTAGGCTACCGGATGAAGTGGAGAGCTCAATAATTTCGGTCACCAGCTGCTGCAGACGAATGTTTCCCGTAGGCCGATGACCATGATCTCTGCCTGAAGAGAGCTATCAGTGGGGATTTCCAGATCGAGCGGGACCTCGGTTAACGAACTCACCCCGGTCGGCGGAGCCGTTCGCCGGCCGAGAAGTTCTCTATCCGGTAGACCTTTGCAATCATCAACTCGATGCGATACTGTCATTACTGCCTGGCAAGATCAGACTTCATCGTTCTGATTCGGGGCATAAAATGATATAGGTGGAGGGTGGAGAGGCTCCCATTCGGCTCATCGAATCAATCAGGTACCTTCAAGTCGAGCACACGGAACTCGCTTCGTCGCGTTGGCGGAAACAAAAGTTTGTGACCCGATGTTATCCGTTACGTAGTACACCGTTTTTTTCCGGTTTCCGCAGGGACTGCGGTAGCGTTCATGCAGATCGCTTTTTCACATTTACTGAAGATTTATTGAGATACAAAGCCTCCCGCACAAGAAGCGATACGGACGACGACATTCTAATGCCCGATCAAGCTGCCTCCCCAGATTATGGCAAATATTAATCTAGACCAGACGTCGCTTGAGCCTTGTAGGTATCCAGAGCCTGCACTTTCCAGCAGTGGTGGGAGAAATTCCCCGACTACGTAGACGGATGGTCTTTGTATGACTGCGAATAGCGACAGCGGCGCTCGACTCGGAATGGCTTCACTTGAATAGTCACCGGAAGCAGTGAAGAAATTTGCTGACTCGGACAGAATCAGCGTCAAGGCCTGCGGATCGATGATTGAAAGTACGACGCGGAATTCTGGGCATCTTCGTGCCAGAGTTGGGGATCTTTCCAAGACGACTTTCGGCGGGCAAGAATATTGAGAACAGCGGTGCGGGAACACTTGATGCGTTCGCGCCCGCAGTCCTTACTCGATCAGCGCTCACAATGATTCTTTCGGTGTTTTGAATTCTGTCGGAATCCCAAGCAGAATGAAGAAAGACTCAGGAATGCCTCGTTCAAAGTGCGTTTCGCTCAGCTCCCCACGTGGAATTAATTTCGTATATTTCGTGATCCGTCATCAAATGGTCACTCTACATACCTATATCCGACGAGCGTCAACCCGGAGGATTTTAGAAAACTTTTACCAAACGAGCTCGATTTCCTCCCTCGACGTGCTCGCGCGTTCTCAGTCAGAAAGCAGTCCGAACGCTTCAGAGCGCACCGCTCTCCGATCGAGCGAGTCGGGCTGAAAAAGGCTGAAGTAATCCCGTCTTTCGTGGGCTGATGTCATGAGGCGCTTCGGAAGTTTGAGAGATGGAAGATGGCATGTGCTGGATTCACGGCCTTCTCAGCGACTGACATATACACCGAAATTCTTGAGATTCCCATGAGATTGAGTTTTATTAGTGAAATTCCGCATCCTCCCCCTCTGCTCCCGCATCATCCTCCATCGTTCACGGTACATCAGCTGTCGTGGGAATACTGGGCGATTTCATAAGGAACTGTGAGGCACATCATCTGATGAGTGGATTCCCCATCGCAGGGTCCGGGAAGTTTGTAGAAACTGGAAACCGGTGAGTTTTCCACGAAAAATTAGACGTTAAATTCTTACCGCGCGCGATACGGCCCGCCGGCCGTCCTCAAGGGACGGCAAAGACGGTCGCACAGTCAGTGAGAGTCAATGCTCGCGGTGAGCTGCACATCTAGTCGCAGAAGTTCAGGGTACCGAGCCGATATTCTAGCTACCGATCAAGACGGCAGGGAATACGATCTCAACTCGAACTTGAACGTAAAATGCGTATTCTCCCGCGTTGTCATCGCTGTTTCTTGGACGGGTGAATCCCCGTCAAAAGTGGCGGCAGTCGGAGCCAGTACAGCGTGGCCGGAGGGAGTCGGGAGAAGCTTCCCCAGTCTTCTTCGCGACAGGCCCGAAGATTTTCTTCTCGAGTGTCGGGCTGATGCTTTATGTGCAACGAGAGTTCCGAACTTCGGATTAGGGGCTCGCCCGGGCCGGAACCTTCCATCGGTCATTCCTCCTTGCCTTGTTATGAAACAATCGATTTACAGACAGTCATATTTCCCTATGGGAAGTCCCCATTGGGACTCGTCGTGCGAAGCCATGCCACGCGGTATATCGCTACGAAACCGGCCGAGAGGCGCTCCCGGCTCCGAGAAATCCGGCGACCTCGATGAATAGCATTCAGAGGTCTCGTGCACGAAGCAAAAGGTCGAATCCCGTCCCTCGAGCCTGACACCGAAAGCTTCTATCTCGCGCACAGCGACATCGTAGCAGACGGCTCTTGTGATCGTCGAATATCTCCAGGCCGAGCTCGGAGATTTTTCTCGGATTTCGAGTTCTTAGCCACATTGAAATCGGTTTAGACCGCACTCACAGACATGAACGTGGCCTCACAACCCCCTCTTCGGGTGTCTCCATTCATCCGGGTAAGCGAATGAGCATAGAATCGACTTGACCCGAAGGTCATTCCATTCGAAATGCGCCTCCGCTCGTAAGTCAAGAGCTTCCCCAGGCTCTCAGACTCTCGTCGATTCAATGAGGGGCATCCCGTGGCCTCGGGATTCAGAGTTATCCATCCTTGGGTTTCGGATCTGCCTTCTAGAAGGGTGCACGAGTCCATTCTATCGCTTTCGCTATGGATGACGATCTCATCACCGGTGCACTCGCATCTCTCACCGCGACTCTGTCTCTCCAAGTTCGAACTTGCTTCGACCTTTCGAGGATTTCCCTTGATGCGTTGAATTGCTCAACGCAAGTAGCTTCTTCTATGCAAAGATTTGGGTTTTCTCGAAAGCTTGGTCCTCCCCTTGGCAGACGAAGCTCCGTGTGCTGAGGTGAACGAGCGGAGTCTTCAGCTCGATGTCACGATTCAGGTTCCGCGGAGTCCTCAGCGGGCAACATAGAGAACGAATCGATTAGTGATCTCTCTCTAATCGGGGATAGGTAATTCGACTTGATGAGTAAAATGAGTTGTGAAGACGCTCCCCGCAGAGCATCGAGACGAGTGATACGAAGAAATTTGAGGATTATTGACTTTCAGGGCTGCCGGTGGATCGCCCTCACCTCTGGGATCGCCTACGGTGTTTTCAACTTCCGCCGTCTTTCGAAGAAGGCAGCTCGAGACAGGGAAATCGATCGCCAGAGGGAAGAGGCTCTCAGACCCAAGAGGCTTGCAGCGAAGCTGCAAGAAGAGAAGGGTAATTATTTTCAATCTGAATTTCGGTCTCATTCCTCGGCACATACGATGCAACCCATAAGAATCGCGTGTCTAATTATCCCCTTCATCTCCCCAGAAACCCACATCATGCTTAACAAGGAGTTCGGCATCGAAATCCCCCCGGAGTTCAAGTAGGATACCGAGTCCTGTAGAGAGCGTTATTTGAGGAAATAAAATGAGAAACTTATAGCCTGAATGTTGACGACAGTCTCCTGTTATCGCTGACTTTGGCGGGCAATGAGCTACCGATTTAGAGTGGGCCGCGAATCCTTTTGCATTCAGCAAATACATATTTTGTGCGAGAATCTAGACGGAATCTTTCTCACCTTAGAGATTGCCTCTCGCTCATGTGAGTTGCTGTATTCAACAACGTAAGGAATTGCAATGATGCACGTCATACTGAATTCCCCGCCGGGAACGTCGAATTCTCCTCAACTCACGATTATCGAATGTCCGCCAATTCGCGTGGTCGGTATGCGGCATACACCTTAGGTGATTCATGACCGTGACGGCGAGTCCGGATGTTTCCCATGAGACCGATTCAACTCCTTCGTTGACGGCTGGAGGAAGGAGCAATTTCAAAGATTGCGCTTGGGTTCTCTCCCACAGAATGCATAAGCGGCAGGCTCTGAAATCCCAGGAGAACTCACCTCTTGGTTTCAGTTGGGTGAAACCCGGCACCGATCCCATGGTACCCTGGGAGTATGCTGTATGACACAAGCTATCGCTTCGGTCGAAACGCCCTTCGGGATCACTTCGAGTTCCTGGTTGATGAATAACCACGGGGACAAGAAGGAATGCGAGGAATAGTTCTCCGAGGCAGTCATCCCCTTCCTCCTCCCGTGCAGCCTCTTCGTTCTTCCTTGAGTTCTTCATCCCCTCTCGCTTAGATCCTTTCGCAGACCTTGGGAGGTCAGTTCTGGACCTCATACTTCCCTTCAGGTTCCGGCTGGACTTTTCCTCGGCCTCGTTTACGGAGGCTCTCTGCGGGAACCTCTGTGAGAAGGGTTCTCAGCGGTACACCGACCTGAAGGAAAGTGACCTATTAATTAATATACCCGAAGCCCGGATAGCATCGAGACTCCCGAGATTCGCCGTAATTCTTCCAAAAATTCTCATTCTCGACGCCCGATCTTTTGGGTGCAGAAGTGGCGATCGACTCCATGCTCTTCGGAATGGATTCCTCGCTCCAATCACCCAATTTCTCGTCGGTCGATCTCTCGACGTGGACAAGGAAATCGTCGAAAGCGGATATATGAACTCTACGCGTCCTGGATTTCAACGCTCGTTTGGATCGTTCAATCTCATGATCTGGTAACTCAGCTGATGTCATCGAACAGGATGTACATATACGTATGTTCCTTCACCGATGGGGACCGTGTCTTCCGTGACCATCACTTGTAGGGAAGAACCGATCAATCGATTAATCAATCACTCCTCGCAAGGGATACGATTCCGCCAAGCGGAAAGTTGAAGAACAGCATACCGATTCGAACAAGCGAACGCAAAGTGCGATACGTATTCTTCGCAACGCTCCTACGTCAAGTGAGTCGCGCCGCTTACGATGAGATTTGAATTTCGCGCGGTCGGTCTTCCCGCCTCTCCCTCGAGTATTGTCGATGGCTCGCACTGTTTTGAGTACGAATGTCGTCTACCCGGTTTCTCTTCCCGCCGCACCTCCTCCTTCTCTGGGAACGTACGTTTCGGAAAACGATCCCTGGTATCCAGAGGGGGTCGTGCTTCCCTCCTCGGGGAATTCCAGGAGGCACCTGTATTCATCATTAATTACGGAGGGCAGCCGGTTTTTCGAGAGACGAAAAATGGAGAGAAACAGCGGAACGAAAAATGACACCGAGTCGAAAACGTTTTCTCTGAGTCTGAAAGGAGTCTCGACGAAGAAATCGGCATTCGACAAGAATCTCATTCGTGATAGGGAAATTATAGAAGAAACAGATTACGTCACTGAAGGTGAGTTTTCAAATCGTCTTCGTCGGTCTTCCGGTCTTGTGTTAACTGAAAACCATCGGACTCATTGTCAATGGACTGTGTGTATCGACACTTCGAAATTTCACAGCGATCATGATCCGTTGCTGATATATCGTTTCCCCACAGTTTCCGACAAGACGATAAAAAGTACGCGGGAAGCCCCGAAGAAGAAGGTGTTCGTGATTCCTGCCGTCAAAGACAATAACGTTTTCCAAAGGAAACTCGAGCTCAAGTATGGGTCGAATGTCGAAGGCAGGAAGAAGAAGAGATTATCGGAGGGAGCTGAACCTCGCATCAAGCAGGAACCCAGTTCACCGTCCCATGATCAATCAGATCCTAGTGGGGAAAGTTTGCCTCAATCAGCAACTTTGGAAGATTACGAACAGATGCCAGTCGAAGAATTCGGGATGGCGATGCTGCGAGGGATGGGCTTCAGACCCGAACATGCAGACGAGAAAGAGTAAGTTTCCCGGAATAAACCCAACGGTGTCGAATATCATCGCCGTAATCATCACTGATCATTGATCAGTATCGTTCATTCGTTCGCCAACAAGTATCGATATTCCTCCGATCATGTAATCGAGGAAACTCTCTGAGATGCTCGGAGGTAGTCTATGAGCCGTGCTTATTCCAGGTGGCCGAAACCCATCGAGATCAAGCTCCGGCCGAAAGGACTCGGCCTCGGAGCTGAAGTCCAAACGAGCATGCAAAAAGAGCACATTGAACAAAGCAAAAAGAGCAACAACTCAGCGACGCCTTTGATCGTCAAAAGCGGGGCCTACGTCAAGATCTTGCGTGGGGCGCACGAAGGCAAATACGGCCAGGTAAGATCCACTTCGGGGGGGCTCCGCCTAATCATTAGCCGAGTCACGAGAAGAGCTCATTCAAACGGCTCAATATGGGAGTGCTGGTCGTGTTAAACTTTTTCTTGAAAGTATAGGATACCTCTCCTTCAGGTTGAGGGAATGGACGAGGATGCTGCTCGTGTTCACATCTGTCTCGCGATATCAAAAGAGAAAGTCTCCTGTAATGAAGCCTTCGTCGCTGCCGTGACGAAGGAGGAATACAACGATCGGGGTAAATGTTTGAACAAAGCAACCTACGACGACTACAAGCAGAAACACGACACGAAAAATCAGAACGACTCCAAGTTCGAGGTGAGCTCGCTCGCACAGTCCGATATAGGCGTCAAGAGTAAAGAGAAGGAAAAGAAGAAAACTCCAGAAACCGCAGAAAAGAGACCATTCATCGGTTACTGGCTGAGATCTCAGATTCGAGCCCGTATCATCGACGAAAAGTTCAAGAAGGGCAAGTACGTGAACGAGAAAGTTGTCATCGAGGATGTGCTGACACGGGACACATGCTTGTGCCGAACAGATCGAGGCCAGCTTCTTGAGGATGTACACATGGACATGTTGGAGACCGTCCTGCCGCGATCGAATCGACAATCCGAGGTGCCTGTCGTTGTTGTCGCCGGCAAGTTCAAAGGCCAGATGGGTCACATAGTTGATCGCGACAAGAAAGGAGCTCAGGCGTTTGTACAGTTTGAAAGTGATAATGAAATCCACAAATTGAGTTTTGACTATATATGCGAATACGCAGGCGAATTGTAAATATTGTTGACGAGTCAAGCTTCTGTATAATTTATGTGGATATCTACTGAGTTCGGACTTTGATCATCTTGTGACGAATCGGGAGTCCAATACTGCCGGGGAATAAAATATGATGCTAATGTTGGGATTGGTCTCTATCCTCCTTGACGCTGTATCCACCTATCCATCTAAATTCCTATTCAGCTGTGTGCTCGCGACATGTGCTTCGAATTGAATCTTCGAATCGACTCAGATCCCTCCCGGATCTTTCCCGGGAAAAGATGATGAGTATCGCTCCAAATTCCGACATCTCTCATCCTCGTACCGTGATCATTATTTTCCGAACGGAAGCGATTCTCCCTTACTGCAAAAATAGCAGAGCATCCTCCGACTAAGCGGATGTCGAACTTTCTCTGAAAGTCGCGAGACGGGGAGAAGTAGATTGACCAGCGAAGTTCCACATGAATGCGGCCTCTTCTCCAGAGCGTCGTGAATTAAGTAAGTTCCTTTGGCAGGAAACCTTTCTTCTGGATTCTGACACCTGGAGAAGCTAGGGAGATGAGAGAAGGGTCCGCCGACCTCGCTGTACCCGGAAAGTCACGGAGAAGACTCGGGAGCTCAATGCAGCCGCGACCGATGCACGACGAAGTCACGGCATCGAGAAATCTCGGATTCCGTGAGCGATGCCAAGTCTCGATTCAAATGAAGCTCCGAGAGCGATTGCCGAGATCCAGGAAAAATGATCATCTGAATCAGACGCTGGTTTCGATCGCTGGATTGAAAGTCTGTCTTAAGAAGAACAGAGTTCTTCCTCTGGTCGGAGGTCCCTTGGACGTTGGTAAGACGAATCTGACTCCGAATATATGCTTTGACCGCAAAGTTTTTTTATCCGAATCCGGGCCGTCTGTAGTCCGACAGAAAACGAATCACTCGCAACCCGCTCATGCCGCCAGCGGCCGACTCCAGCTACCCCTTAGGTTCCAGGTCCGTCATCGCTTGCTCAGATCAAGAAGATGGAAGTCGCTTCCTCGATTAACAGGCTATGATCTCGCACTAGCGATCACCAAGGCCAATCAAAGATTCATTATCGAACGAAGGAGAGAGAATTCCGGGTGATTCGCGTGAATAATGCGGCCCAATGGCGGAAAAAAAGCATGGTGGACGATCGGCTTGGTCCATGCACCGTGGAGGCTGGGAGCGGAATCGCTTCTTCTACAACCCGCTCCAGCCTCCTCTGAACTTGCTTGCAGAGCACTAGCAGACGAGATTTCCAACCAGAGCGCTCGAGCCTCCAATCGAAGATTTTGAGGGACTCGTCTATCTATGAGCACGAGCCCATCTGGGCACGGCGACCGGATAAGTTGATGTTGTTCCACGGCAGGGGATAAACTGACTGTGAAGTTCCCATGGGTCTGAGCAGTTTCGCTTCTGAGCATTCGGCAGGCACACAGAAAACGTTTCGGCCAACTTATGACTGACCGAGCGCGAGAGGATAATTTGCTTGACCGAGATCACTTTGAGAGGAATCACCTCCCAGAAAAAGATGAGAATTCTCTCATCCTGGATGGTGGCTGTCTCGGTCGGACCAGAATGAGGTCGCTTATTGGATGGCCCGGAAATTCCGGAGATATGGCGATCGAAAACTCGGTTTGGGAGCTGCGGGAACAGTCGTCTTCCAGGATGTGGGTTTCTCGTTGTTCTATATTTACCAGATAGTGCAATTCCCAGATCTCAGATTTCCTACGACACGTCGAGCTCGCTCGATCATCTGTAGCGCTCGTCGATCGCGATTCTCGGTGCATCGTCAAGCATTGCTCCGACAGAGGGAACCTCCTAGAAGTCTTGAACGAGACATGAGGCGCCTCCAGGAAACATTAGCATCCTCGCACTTCTTTTCAACCGCCGAAGGTGTCAGCCGAATGCTCCAGCGCATCATCTGTATCGAGTCGGCAGGGTGGAACCCGAGCATGAAACACGATGATGTTGATCGTTGGAGGACAGCGAGCCCCGATACGATCACCAGGACTGGCATTCCAGTGAACTCCTTCAGGCAGCCCTAGCAGGGAATCGAGTCAAACCCTGTTGAACATTGATATACAGACTTTTTCCGACAAATCCTATCCCTAACATTTGTTGGCGGAAGCGGACTTCACACGGAAGTGACCAGCTGCGCTTCGCACTTTGAGGAGCCGTCCGGGAAAGTGCACTCTAGTGTCTCATTTTAATCATTTCACATTCGCTTTCGATATTGAAACGCTGTCGACCGCCCCACGCTTCGTGGGTATCTCATGAGTCTCCGATGATCCGATCAGATATATTCACCTTCGAGTCCCGCCCTAGGGGAGCTCATCAGCTGGGGAGCCTATGCGAACGAGCTTGCGCTTTTAACAGGCATAGGATAGCAAAAGTCTGCTCGAGTGTGGTACAGTCGGACCCGCTTATATGAGACACCTCGGGGAACCGTAAAAAGTCTCTTATATGCGAGTTTCTCTTATGCGCGGAAACACCCAATCGCGGATGAAATGGTTGGAAATGATGAACCTTTCTTCACGGGTCCGCATACGTTAGCCTAAGGCGCGTCTAGAAAGCCCAACAAGCAGTCGGAATCGGGAAAAAGTAGAGAAAGTGTTCCGACCTGTCTCTTCGAAGCGAATCCTTCAACATGGAATCCTATGAGAAGGGGAATCGTGACGAGTCTCTTGTGAGCGAGTTTCTGTTATAAGCGAGTTTTCAAGTCTCCTATATGCGATTTTTTTAACATGGGAGTCTATGGGCTCGGGAACCGGGGAATAGAATCTCTCTCTTATAAGCGCAAGTCTCTTATATGCGTATCTCTTATGAGCGGGTCCGCCTGTACTGGGGTGCTCGTTCGGGAAAAGAGTTCGATCGATCCATGTACACCGCGATCCACCTTCGATTCCCCGACTGTATAACGCGGACATTAGCCAAGAATGAGAATCGAATATCGGAGTCAAGTAGGGGGAATTTCCATCACTTCGGTCATCCAGAAATTTTTCGCGACCCAGGAGCAAAAGCCAGACGGGCAAACAAATCCGAAGAAGAAGAAGCAGCAGCATGTGGAATCGTGGCGAGAATAGTCGGAAGATACCTCTCTTCTGGCGTGACCCACATTCTGCCGTTCTCCGTTCTTGACCGTGAATGCCAGAATAGGGTCGATGCGGCCATCATCATTCCTGGGTCGCTTCAAGTTGCGCTCATCCAGAAGAGTCTTCCAGCGGAAGCGTTTTGCAACACTTCTGCGCCTCTACCAGCTGCGGGATACATTTTCTCTCTGCTGGGAATGGAGGGAGACTCGAGGACTCCTCTGATTTTCTCCTCCTGAGGCGGTCCGTCAGGCTTCGATCTGAGGAGGAATCCTTCGAGGTCCCTAAGTCTCGGGGGTTTCCGAATCACCGATGGAACTGCCTGAGCTCGACTCCGAACTCGAAACCTTTTGAGATTACCATCCACAGAGAAGTAGACTCCCCTCCACGGGGGTTTCCTCCGGTTTTGCCGGCTCAGTCAATGACTGCCTCCGAGCGGATTGCACAGCAGACTGATCGACGTACATACAATTGTCCGAAGACATAATCGCTTGTCTATGCGGTTCGTCTTTCGTCGGTCTCCCGCGTATACTGCGACGCTTTTGTGGCTCAAGGCGAAAATAGCGCCGGAGTTCTCCGGGTCAACGGCTTCGAATCTCGGCCACGGCTTCGAAAAACTGTGCCACGCGATTTTCGAAGCTTTCGCCGCCTCAGCGTTCTCCTCACGTGATCGTCGACGGAGACGAATCCCACACTCGGCAGCATATGCATGCATGCACGCGCGAGCCATCAACGTTCTGTTTTGCTCGCGTTCGATACCAAAACGATGAGTCCACGGATTCATTGAGCCAGTAATCGGCAACTTTATTTGTATCTTAGAACTATTATCATAAATGCACAACATAGTCGGTTTATTTACCTATCTTGCGTTTTTGTACATTGGGGTTTAGGAAAATCACACAATCTTCGTTTTGAGCGGTTGTTAATTTCATCTTCTTTCTTCATCCCTAATTTGACTTGATGTGCTGTTGCTGCTGCCACTGTCTCTGTTCGTCGAAAGCTTTCTTCTGTTGGAGCTCCCGAGCTTTGTTGATATAATTCTTAACGTAGAAGTTAACAAACATGCACATAATAACAAACACCGTTCCTCCGGTGTTGGCAAGCGCTGCCGGCGGGTACTCGACATCGATGAAGAAGACTCCGGCCATCAGGAGCAGCATGCAGACGAACTGCACGATCTGGAGCATCGTGAGATGTTTCTTCCACCAGAGATACGGTCTCATCGGAGGGAACGTGGCGAGGAAGTAATACGAGTACATGATAACGTGCACGCCGGCATTCATGACCAGCCCCGGCAGAGCGAAGTAGAGCCAGTTCTGTCGCAGATACAACCACATGTTGAATACGACTGCTACGTGATGATATACGTGAAGTCCACTCACGTGACTCTGTTTCCCGGAGAGTACAAACAGAACCGTGTCGACGAGGTCACTTATCCTCACGAAGAGATAGATGTAGAGGCAGTCGATCAATCGCATCGTCAACGGATCGGTTTTGACGTTGGGCGGCTCGCCGTAGCCGATGCTCAGCTTCCAACAGCATACACAAACAGTGTAAACAGTCCACGAGCTGATAAGAACTTGGTATAAATTGAAGATCCTGGCAAAGTTCTTGACGTTCATCGGTTTTCGGTCCCGCATCATGTTAGGTCCGACCTTGAGCACAAAGAGCAGGTAGCCAACAATGATGCCGAAAACCGGCACCGGATTGTCGATCAAGGGCCGTCCCTTGAGTCGGGGGTCCTGTTCCATCGAACGCCAGACATTTGCCAGAAGATCCATCGTTCACGAGTGGAGCATCTGAAGTGACAGCATTTCTCTGGCTAACGGTGTTGCTGGGAAGGAGGAAGAGCAATGGCGGTCAGGCGAGGGCTTCGGCCCCACTCCGACGTAAGGGCCGGCCGGCCGGCCGGCTCGATCTTCGCTCCGCCAGCCGTCCAGTCGATTCGTCTGTCTGTTTTCCCTTTCTTCTGTGGATCAGGTAGTCAGATGGGAGAACTCGGTTTCGCTTGAGATATTCTCGCTTTGTCGAACTCCGGAGCGTCTGGCGCAATTTTCGGGGGAATCGCAAGCCCCGCGGATACGTCTACAGCTGTTCGCGCCGCGATCGACAGCACTACCCGATAGCGTTCGGTGAATGCGCATCTGCTTCGCGTCTCCGCAGAAATCTCTCCCAACACGGCTGCGTGAGAGTCAAGATGATAAACCGAATATAAGCGGAAAAAAACTGTAACTAGATATGGTAGTCCGCCCTTTGTCAGAATGAAGCTAGAGACGCAGCTTGAGGTCCCAGGAAATCTCAAATTCGCTTATGGTCCTCGTTTATGTTATCAGGACTCCCGGCTCCGTTTGGTCATCCCCGAATCGAAAACAGAGCGACAGAACTCGATCAGTTTCCAACGCTTCAGTCCAATGAACCGATCAATCCTCTGGTGTTGGACGCCCTCAAAGGCTTCGCCGTGGTCGATCGATGTATCATTATCGAATACACTGCGGAGTTCTCCAAAATGGGAATCGTTCTTCCCCTCTACTCCACGGGCCCGAGTCAAAATGCTAAGATCGCTTGTACATCAAGTGACTCCTTCTGCCTATTTTCCTCGTCTCCTCACGTGGTCGTGTCAAGGGGTCGGGACTCAAACACTACAGGGAGGCTGTGAAGCCCTCGACCTGATCAGACTGGTACGGAGGCATCAGGTCTACATCGGTGGTCACGGGTGATCAATGTCGCCCATGATCGTCGCTGACAGAGGATCCCCCCGGGGTCCACGCTGGACGTGTAGGAAGATCTGAGCCTGCCTGTAGAAGCCCTGAAATCATAGCACTGAAAGCCGTGAGCGGCGTAGCTTCTGTTGTTTCGTAGAATTTGCTCCGAAATCTTAAGCAACGCGTTTTCGCTGCTCGCGAAAATCACCTTCGTACTTTTCATTCAGAACAGAAGTGTTATGATGACATCCTTGGAGAAATAATTAACGTTGCGCGGATCCGAGGGAAGACTCTTGTACGCGCTTGACCAACCCGGACACGGGGACTGCCCGTGATGTCGTCGACGGTAGGGAGCTGAACGAATCAACAATCAAATATTTAGACGAGGCCACTCCCGATAGGAACGATGCGAGGCTTTCTTCGAAAATGACACCTCCTTCGCGAGATTCGCGAAGACGAGAGCCAGGTAAGCGTAAAGATCCACCACCCGATATTTACGACACCAGCAACCACCGGATAGATCTTCAGCCTTGAATAGAGATGAGTTCGACTCCGCAGCAGCTTTTGTCTCGACCGCGCTCAGCTCGAACTTCCTCGGATGCGGGAAAAGTACCATCTTCGACAGTCTCTCGATCTCGGCGCTCTTCATGAACCTGATTAGTTTTTTTTCCAATCAGAACAAACGCTGCGAAAGCTGGCTATGAATGGAGACATTGATCTACGGTCAGTCTGAGGTAGCTCAGTGGTGATTATTATTCACCGTTCCCGACCTTGACCCTGGCTGCACTTGACCGAGTGCTGGAAAGTGCTACGATGCCACTCGCTGACAACGCTGGGGCCTTGTCCCTTTCAGTTTCTCGTGAACGCCTTCTGTTACCGCGTTCCACGACAGCGGCATTTATCACGGAGCTGCCACGACCCTTGAGTCCCAGAAATTCGAAACGCGCGTGCGAAGAAGTTGCGTGCTGAAACTCTGGTGAAGATGTTCTTACCGAGATGTATTGATTCGTGTTGCATTCATTCAGAGAACTCGAGTCTCTCTCTGGCTTGAGAATCGCATTCTAGCTGGCACTGGGGCGAGGAATAATACACGTTGGGATGCCGGATCCGAGCTCAGGGAGGCACGACGTCACGTCCCGTGTGAGCTCAAGAGCCATCAGCTGACAATCGTTGAGGACATATATGGCGACTCGACATATATGGGGCCATCGTGTCGTCTCCGCGATGCCTACCTCTCTCGGATTCCTAAAAATTGCGTCCATGGGGACCCTTCTCGTCGGGGCCTAACAGTGACGGACTCTGAGGATGAACTTGATTACGGGCTCTCGTCCTTCCCCATCAACGGACAGGATCACTCGAACCATTACGTTCCTTCACTCCGAAAACGTTTCCCGAAACTCCGTTTCAGGGAAGTCCGTCAAGACCGTGGTCCGATGACTAGATCTTCTGAATTTCGGACGTTTCATTCTTATCGTATCTGCGGAGACCTTCCACCACCTCTGGGAGATGATTGCCTCGGAGAATCTCTCAACGTTGGCCTCATTGAACGACGTCGCCAGGCCTGTCGTTTCAGATGTTCCTGGCGACGAGCTCGACATCCATTTCTAGAACGATGTGAGCCGATTGGGTCTCGCCATTTTCGTCGTCAGCCAGCTCGGCCGGTATTTGCATTCGAAAAATTGGGCAGCTTTGAGCGCAAGCTTCCTGACTTTTTCCGAAGCCCAACCGAAATAAATATCGGATGCTCTCTCGAGATAATCGGCCTCGATTCCTTCTTGCTCCGTGTCGAAGACCTGATGTGGCCCTCGATAGCCCGCCGGGAGGATGCCCGACTCTTCATACTTCTCACAGTATCTCTTGGGGGGGCAGATAGGAATTCCAAACTGCTCCGTTGTCTCCGCGGGAGCCTAAGCATCTAAGCGAGCTGCTCCTCCTGCAGGCCAAACGACGTCAGCAGGCACCTCAGCACGGTTCGTTCCTCTTCCGCGTGTCCTGGCCATCACGAGTGCAGTGCTTGCATTTGGACGGTACTCATCTGAGGTGCTCTGAGACTCCGAAAATCCTTCTCGAACCGGAGTCTCTCCGATGAATCAGAATCGACGCGCATACGAGTTGCTCGATTCATCCTCCGAAGGATTCCGCGACGAGAACACTGACGATCCACTTCGACTACTGAAGGCCATTGTGAAACTTTCCCCCAGGAGACCACCTCAGACTCAAGAATCCGTCCAGCAAAAGTGTCACTGAGTATGCGGGGTTGTGCCTACGGACGCCTGGCGACAAAATGCCCGAGCATCTCTCCTAAGGACCCCGAACAGTGTCAAGGAGCTCAGTCTCTGTTTCTTCCCACCGCCGCCCGGTCCACCGCGAATCGGTGCTTATTGGTGGCGAGTAGGCTAGGTCACCGATTCATCCATGAATGACCATCAGCATGACCTTCATCCCACTGTCATTATTCCACCATCAAGGAATCCGATAGTCCTGAGTGAGGGGCAGTTGAGGGAGCTACCCCCGCACGCTCGTAAGGCGGCAGACGCTATCTTCCAAGAGAAAATACGACCAAGCAGACTCGCACTCGAGCCAATCTCGCGAACTCGGATGTCATATGTCATACAAGACGATGGTCGCTGCGACACTCCTGTGATTCCTGCCGCAGCGACTGCGTTGGTGTCGGAAGATTTGAATTCCTCATCGATTGAGTTAAGGTACACACTTTTGGCGAGAATGATCGAGACTTCGAGATCGACCATAACCGTTTCGAGAATGAGGTCATCGTTGAGAGCCGCAAATCAATGAGGCCCGTTTCATCACGTCTTCTGCTTTTTCGGTCGTTCCACCGGAAGAACGTCTGAGTCAGTGCCTTCAAGTGCAGATCATATGGAAGGGATTTTCGAATATTGACGGAGGAAGCTCGTCGTCGGGGTGAATCCTAAATCTTAGGAGAAGATGGAACTGAGCTTGCGTGGATCGCATACGTGCTTACCGGTCATGGGCACGGAGGGGAAATAGTCGGCCGGGTCTCCCGAAGTTGAGAGCTCAGGAGTCTGAAGAGAGGTCTGATATGCAACGAGCGGCTGATATTATCGGATTGCAGCCATTATTTGAGCTTAGGTTAATGCTTGATGAGGCCTGACATCGCCGCAAAGGCCTCCGGCTGGGGCATTGCACACCGGAGCCACCACAACGTCTGACCATGACTTGAGAAATATACATACTCGAGCATTTACCCGGAGCGTTTGGAGAGCAGGATCAGCTGGTTGCTGGATTCGGAAAAAGTACCCTCCGCATGAATCGGCGTCAATGAGCTATATGCGAATGCCCAGGAGGTAAGACCACTGAGAGAATCCGGCCATCCGTCGCTCGTCGCTCGAGATCCCACGACACGAATACGCGGATCGCAGGGTATTCAAGGGGATCGCGATCACTCCCCTCCAAGACGTTTTCAGGCGCGGAACGAGCGGACGTTTTTTTCAGGAGAGTTCGCATCCGTGCGCGAAGACTTGCGGATCGTCTGCAAGGTTATTTGTTCCTTCGAACTCGTTACGTTCCCACCAAGCAAATGGATCTGGATCCTCGTGGAGATTCTCCTCGAGGTGTTTCAGAACGGTTCCTTGGTGAGCCAGGCGGGGATGAAAAAAATAAACTATCGCAAGATCCCATAGCCGGGCAGCTTATGAGAGATTCAGGTTATGCATCTAGAATCTGGACTTCCAAAAGTTCCCAACCTTTATTTTCCGATGAAATTAATTGATTTTTCTAACTTTGAGGAGAATTAGAATGTTTGGAATTCTTTGATGCTCTCCCCCCACCTTGACATATGTCAGCCGGTTCCTGTACTAAATACTTTTATGCAGCCCTTTGAATAAAGGAGATTTTGAATCGAATAAGCTCCGCAAAATCGAGATCCCCCATATTTTGAAAATATTAGGGAACATTAGTCTTGCTAATCATAATCATGTACTGGACCCGAAACTTCATTGCTTCCATACACCAGGCGTGAAGTTCATTTCCCATGGCTTTACGGAGCCTTGGGGTTCCGTGGAACCCCGTTTGGGAATGACTCTTGAAGAGCACAGTGGTTTCCGATTCCGCCACCGTTGGAGACG